ACCAGTCTATTAAACAGCAGTAGGTAAAATAATAAATAGCAGTTAAACAAAAAGGTAAAGTACATAATACTACGTAGGATCCTAATACCCAAGAACTACCTCCATAAGATTACTGCTAGTGGATGCTTAATCGTTCAGCAGAAATAATTTAATTTATAACTTTGGTGTATTTCTTAACAGTCCGTGACGCAATCTTTATTTTCTATTTTTCGCGAATCCAGGGATATTTACTAAAGGGAGAATTCAATGTGAATTTTAAATTTAAAGGAACACTATAGGGTCAGGAACACAAACATGTATTCCTGAACCTATTGTGTGAAATCCACCATCTAGCCACCTTGGACCCCCCTTGCCTCCCTAAATATAGTAATATCTTACTTGTATTCAAGTTTGAAGCTGCTGCGTCTGTCTGACCCTGAACTGCCTGCTGTCTGCGGACAGCATCAGAAGTGGTGATCTCAGCCAATCACATAGCCATAAGATTTCCTGAGACTGTCAAGGAGGCAGATCAGAGGCAGAGCCAGCACAAGTCAAACACAGTCCTGGCCAATCAGCATCTCCTTGAGATACATTGAATCAATACATCTCTATGAGGAAAGTTCAGTGTCTCCATGCAGAGGGTGGAGACACGGAATGTCAATCACACCGTGCAGCACTGACACAGGAAGCACCTCTAGCAGCCATCTGAGGAGTGGCCAGTGGAGGCATCCCTAGGCTGTAATGTAAATACTGCATTTTCTCTGAAAAGACAGTGTTTACAGCAAGAAGCCAGAAGGTGATGAGTCTACTCACCAGAACAAATTCAATAAGCTGTAGTTGTTCTGGTGACTATAGGGTCCCTTTAAAGCCAGAGCAGTTGTACTGAAGGCAAAACTGACAGAGAATTTTTGAGCAACTTTGACCTTAAACTTAAAATTGTCTCTACAGTGAATATATTTCTGATCATGTCTTCATGCTGATGGGCAGAACATGAAAAGTTCTACCCTGACATAGATAGTATTGATATGCGTTAAGAAAGAAATCAATTAATTAACCACACCTGACCCTTTGGGGTCCCTGCACTGTTAAGAATTGGTTTATTTTTCGCAGTCAGTAGGATACTACTGATATGAAGAATGTATTCAGGAAACACGTTGGGTCCGGCAGCATTAAATAGGACTCCAGTCCTGCTATCCTGGGTCATTGTAACAGGTCACAAACACGCACATATGTAGCACAATGTGTTCACACCTGTCCACATCTATAAACGTTTGCTTTGCTGGGCGTTCGATGTGAATTTCAAACGTTACAATTTCTGACCTAGAGAATGTTTCCAGTGGAGCTAATTTGACCCAAAATTTGACTGAATATCCCGTCCGATGACATAGTGACACGCGTTCCTTCCAGACCTGATGCGCTCCCTTTAGAAATGAACCCAGTTTTAACATGAGTCCACATTTACTGATTTGGGTCATTTTGTGTTTATTTAATCGTTTTTAGAGCTATTTGCTAAAGTGTGTGTTGCAGAGAATTCAAAATGAATTTAAAATTTTAGGTCAAATTATCCGACACGGCGGACTTTCCGCTTGGCTATTGAGATTGTACCATGTAAATATCACTTACAATTATTACTCATTAAATGTGGGGAATTTACCAGGAAAGTAACATATTAGTCAAAATAGCCAAAGTAAAAAATAAATGAATAAATCTTACTATTTGTTTCAGTTTTGGCTACGGTGACCTAAGATGTCTTCACTAAATTTCCTGGTTTACTGAGTGAAGCCATTTTTCCCTGATGCCGACAGACTGGCTGAACATATTGACGCTTACCTGCCAAAATGGAGGTGGCTAGTAAATAAAAGGACAGCGCCAGCATGTGTGTGCCATGCAAGTGACATAATCTGTGTCCCCGGTGATGGGTACAGCCGCAGTGGGGTTTGCCCAGCATGCATGCCAGTTTGACAGACGTCCTAGCAAGGTGGCCACCCAGGGCAGAAACACTATGTACAACCTCCGCAACATGAACATTTCAAAATACGTCCACAGACAGCACCTTATGGGACTCACTGACTGGGCCAAGAACTGGGATAGTCATGCTGAATTTGGGAAGAACAAAAATGTATTTCAAAAACATCCCACATGTCCCTATTTAAGAGGAACAGTCCCTATATTGTGCCCAAATACCTCTTTTCTAGGAGTTCCATGTTGTTGGTGTGTCTGAGTGTATAACAGAGCTGCACAGCGATAATACTCCCAGTAATGTGTCTGAGTGTATAACAGAGCTCCACAGCAATAATACTCCCAGTAATGTGTCTGAGTGTATAACAGAGCTCCACAGCAATAATACTCCCAGTAATGTGTCTGAGTGTATAACAGAGCTCCACAGCAATAATACTCCCAGTAATGTCTGAGTGTATAACAGAGCTCCACAGCAATAATACTCTCAGTAATGTGTCTGAGTGTATAACAGAGCTCCACAGCAATAATACTCCCAGTAATGTGTCTGAGTGTATAACAGAGCTCCACAGCAATAATACTCCCAGTAATGTGTCTTTAACTACAATAAATGTGTTTAGAAATCAGCCGGTGTAAATAAGATACATTGTTCTTCTAAATTACATTTTAATTCTATAAATTATTAGTAAGTCGCCTAAAATTTCTTAGAATAGCCCCTGGCTGCACTCCACTCACGGCCCATACAGCCCCCGCCCCTGGCTGCACCCCACTCACAGCGCATGCAGCCTGGAACTAAAATCGGCTACTCCACGGCGCGAACACCGCTGGACTTCCAGGCCGTTCGGGAGCTCGGGTCTTTTAGTGTTGGGTTCCCCAATCGGTGTTCGGTACTTTTAGGTGAATGTAATATAAAGTATGTTTTCGTATGCCGTTCGGTTATTTAAGCTGGGATCTGAGCGGTACTCGCACGAAGGAGGTGCTCAGACCCCAGCGATCTACCGAACGGTCATTCATGTTAATCACACGAATAAAACAAAAGTTATGGATTTTTATGTTAAAAGCCGGATCTGCTGTACGGAGGGATAATCCACTTAACAGGATATTCTAGTGGGAGTATCCCTCTCGTACAGCGGTGCATGTGATTTAAGTTTCCCATGTAGTCCACTCCTGTAATGCCCCTGTGATGTGACTCAGGAAACCCCTTGCATGGGGAATTGCATAAATACTGGAGCATGTGAATAAAGACCGCAGTTGACTCCCAGAACTGTGTTTCGTCCGGTTACTGGGGGATTTGGGATATTGCAGCGCTTTACTTTGGATTACCTTCTGTACCAGCGGAGATATTGGGATTTCATATTGCAGCTCCGCCACAGACAATATTATTATTTTTTTTGTCTTGTTTGGCCATTGTCGGGATAGCCAGGTCATTAGCCCAGGTAGCTTACTGCTCCCTTCCAGTTCCCCCGCTATATACACACACACACACACACACACCTCTCACACAGAGCCAAGAAGCCTTTTACCCAATGGACCATAACCCCGACTCCTGGGTGCGACCTTTCTTGGAGAGTTGCGTTTTCCGCCAAAGAGATTTTATTCAATAACAAGATTCCACCCACCTGCCCAGGCTATCAATTCCTTATCGCGGCCGGGACGCTTTGTCATTAAACATTGACTCACATGTTATGCATGTCGAGAATCTGAGAAACTGGTTCATCGTCTTTGAAACCTGTTCAGTTTCTTTACTTAACAGTAAATCAACAAAGTAACTTCGACAGCTTGGGCCCATATAGTGTTATTGGAATCAGCTATTGGTCCATTTTAACTTAACATTGTCAAGGCCTTTGTTAATTCCCCAGCACATACAATCCTTTAGAATTATTACCAAACCATGGGGCATGAGGTACAAAGATTACTGGCCTGCGGAGTATTAAAAAACACATTCTCTAAGTATTGACACGTGTAAATTATAAAGAAAATCAATTGAAGAAAAAAAAAAAAGTCTCTTTTTCTGAGTGTATCGAGGCCGGCTCAGATCGGATAGCATTAAAATATAAAATGATTCCAATTGTCTTCCTAAATGTTTATGTAATTTACGCTAAAATCCCTTCTAAATGCGCAGTGCTGGGTCCAATAACACAAGGAACGTTTTCCAATAAATGACTATTCTCAGAGGAACTCTGCCAGGCAATCAGTAAGTTCCGTAGATGTCATTACACTGTAATATTTTACTATTTATCATTTCTGGGTCCAGACATGAGAAAAAAAAAACATCGACCAAAACTATGAAAATGTCCGATGCTGGGAGATTTACTGGGAAGGGACGTCCGAATCAAGGTGTCTATATCCAGGATCAAGACCACAAATCGGAATATAGGGAAATGTAGAAGAAAAGGGTACCAAATGCCTGGAAGGTCCAGTGATGGAGAGTCTGGGAGGGGATGTGTACCGAGCCTTGGGGTGCATACTGCTATTATGGAATGACATTCTCAGGGTTTGGTTAATTGGGAGCATCCAAGGATACCAGGCAGAGCGGAGATAAACCCATGCTAGGACACTGATTACAGATCCAAGCAGTTCATAGACATAACAGGATTGAGAAGATCAATCATCTCAATAAGTGGCTCTCAACCTCATCATACACAAAGTTGTATTTAGTGGAACACAACCAATTCTTTCCTTTTAAAAAGAAGTTCCCTGAAGGGAGAGAATTTGGGGAGGAGGAATTAGTACATTGCATCACAGTGGTAGATCCCAGTTTGTTGGGGATCGGAGAGTTTGATGATATCTGTCCCGATGGGCTGCCTTTGAGGTTTGATATTGTTTTGTTTGTAGAAAATATTCCCCTGGCATTGGCAGCACCGGTATTTATTCTTTTTTTCATTCTATCATTTTTTAATTTGTGTTTTTTTTCGTAGACATGAAACCATAAAGCAACACACAGTTACAGTACACAAAGTCATACATCATTATGGTTACAAAGCGCATCACGTCAACTATATATTTAAACAAAACCAGAAATAACAGAAGGAAAGCAAAAAAGGTAACTGATTTCACACACATCATTTTTATTTTTTAATTTGACAATTTTTATTGAGTCAATGAAGAGGCAGTTGGGTACAGAAAGAAAGAGGGTAATTATATTCAAACAGTGGTTACACTACATATCATTTGGTGCTCGACATCTTTTGGCTATTAATACATACATGGGTGCAATACAATTCTACAGACGTGTAAGGTGGATTGGCTATCGTCTTGGGCCTATTTGCCGGGAGTTAGATGACATGCCTTTGAAGAAGGTACAAGTCTCAGCCTTAACGACACGTTTATGCCTGTGCCTTGCCTAGGAGGTCCTTCCTCATCAGGTGACTACGTAAAGGCTAATAGGCGGCAAGCTAAATAGGCTCCTGATGGTAGTTACTTATCGCGGAAATAATACGGCTTTGTCTAGACTACTAGGTAGTCTGATAGTGCCTTTTTAAAATTTGTATGAAAATGCCTTTGTGCCTCCCGTTCAGTAGTTAGTGTGCTCTTACCAGTCCTGTGAGGCTGCCAAACCTCTGTGACCTTATTTTGATATGAAAAGGAGAAAAGGTAAAGAGGGAGTGGAGGAGGAGGGAAACCAAAAAAGGGGGGGGGGGGAATAAACTAGTTACATTGTGGATTTATTTCACCTGTCTCTCGTGAGGGTGGACTCATCACTTAGGGTGAAGCCCCCGTACTTGGAAGCATCATAGTGCCCAGTGTCTCCTGTATTTGCCATTGCCGAGCTTGTAGTGCTGCTAATTATGAAATTTGAGTAGAGAAAATCGAGCCGAGCCCAGATACCGGTCCTCTTCCTCCTCCCACTGCGCCAGCTCTCTTACCACTCTGCCTCTAGTGGTGAAACTGCTCTACTAGTTAACTTGTTTTTATTTTATTATATAATAATAACATTACAAGATGTGTCCGTGTGATATCGCTTGTTCTCCCTCCTCCCCTCGTCAGCTAGATGCTCATGGGGTGTGGGTGTTATCCGTGTTTGTATGGGCTGTAATGCATGTGTCCCATATGGCGCCAGCTCCCTGTACATGTTATTTTGGACTATTATGGGCCATTGATTCGTAGTCCAGATTTAAGGAGATCTGTGCTAAAACGGCAGAACATGCAGGCACTTTTGTGGTTTTCCAGGCTCTGGCTATCAGCAAATTTGCTGCCATAAAGATGTGGAAGTAAAGTAGAGGCCAGGCGTGGAAGGTTGTTGTGGCAAACCTAGCCACTCGGACTATAACTGGACACTATGCCTTTAAGGGTTGCCTATAGGTCTGGAGAGAGATGCGTTGTAACTGTATGTGCCTGCTTCCTGTATTCCCTGCTTTACCTGTACCTATCTGTTCCGCCGAATGCAAATGGCGGTTTGTATGGGGATTCCCGTTCGTTTCGCGAACGGCACTTTGGAGGGCCGTTCGTGAAACGAATGCGATACCCCCTAATAGCCCACACACTTAGAGGCGTGTGGCGCTAGTTAACCGATTGCAACATTGTTGCAATCGGTTATTAGAGGCTCTCCTGGGTGGCCGTCGTTCGACTACCGACCATGCGGCGGTCGGCCATCTTGGATCCCTGGTTCTTCAGCGGGTCCGTGTCGTCGAACGCATAGCATTACCAACAGTTATTCGACGGCACGAACACCGCTGAGCCTCCAGGACGTTCGGGAGTTTCAGGACCAGGTTCACTAAAGCAATCGGTTCTTTTCGTGTGTTTTGAAAGAAATGTGTTTTCTGTGCGGCGTTCGGTTATTTTAGCTGGGATCTGAGCGGCAATCTCACGAATGATGCGCCCAGACCCCAGCTATCTACCGAACGTCCATTCGTGTAAATCCACCGTATATTGTACCAGTTGTAGATTTTTGTGTGAATTGCCGGTTCTGCTGCACGAGGGGATAATCCCCTTAACGGTGCATTCTGGGAGGATGATCCCTCTCGTGCAGCGGTGCCTGATGGGAGAAATATGTAGTACAGTAAGTCCCCCATGTAGTCCCCTCCTGTACAACCCCTGTAATGTCTGTTTGGAAACCCCTTGCATGGGGAATTGCATAAATACTGTGACCTGTGATTAAAACCTCAGTTGACTCCCAGCCTATGTGTCGTCTAGTTCTTGGGAAGGAAGGGTTACTGCAGTGCTGTTTGGATTACTATATGCTGATTCCCTGGATTATCCTTTGTTGTTCCTGTTACCCAGCGGAGATATCGTGGATCATACTGCCTCTCCGCTACAATTGGTGGCAGCGGTGGGATTGAATTTACACAGCAAAGCAACGTTCGGCAGATTTTTAAACGAATCAAGGAACAAGCATTCGGGAATCAGCGCATTCGAATAAACCTCACGAACAGCAGGTGAATGGGAACAGATTACACCCTGCTAAAACGGAGCACATTAAAGGAGCTGCTGGAAGCAAGAGGAGTAATCGCCAGTAACAAGGCAAAGGCTGTCCTAATTGCGGAACTCATGGAAGGAGACAGAGCCGCAGCTGCTGCAGCACCTCAAATGGAGGGACAAAACAACGAATTTACAGCGGAATTCCGAGCACGACTGGCTTTATTTCCTGAACCACCATCTACAGAAATGTTTAACCGGCTGTTCGCCGATGTACAGGAGTACATTATGGCTAGGGGACCACCAGGAAACCAGCAAGCCAGAGAAAGAGCCGCAACGCCAGTCCATAGTTTCCCAGGGAAAACCAAAATCCCATATCAAGCCTTCAAAAGCTATGTGGAGACGGAGGGTGGCGTTGACGACTATTTACAGGATTTCGAGAGACTGTGTTTGCTGCACGAGATTAATGATGCAGACAGAGTACCCCTACTAGCGGGGAGATTATCTGGGCGAGCCGCCGAAGCATACCGGGCAGTACCAGACGAGGATAGTAGAGACTACGCTAAAGTAAAACGGGCCATCCTAGCCCGGTATGCCATCACCTCAGAGGCATACCGAAAGAAGTTTCGGGACATAAAAAAACCCAGTAAGGACACCCATGTGGAGTGGGCGCACCAGCTACAACGAGCTGCCAAAGGGTGGCTGGAGGCCGCCCAAGTTGATACATTGGAGGGTCTGTTCCAGCTAATGGTACTGGAACAATTCTTCAATGGCGTCCCGCCCTACCTACAAAACTGGATCCGGGACAGAAAGCCACACACCCTGCAGGAAGCGGCTAATATGGCAGACGATTTCCAGGACAATCGGAGAGATCAACCCATACCAACCCGAGCCACCATCCCCCCTACAATGGCCAGCCCTCCAGGGGGCCCCGCAACGTACCAGCGACCAGGGGTAAACCAGAATTCCTACCCCCCCAGATATTCAGCACGTCCACCAATCCGGTGCCATACCTGCAACCAACAGGGGCACATCCAGAGAGACTGCCCACGGAACCGGCCTCGACCTAGCTGGAATAACGCCGCCCCGAGCAACCGTGCCGCAGTCCACTGCCTACAGGCCGAATCCGACCAAAATCTGGAGTTGGAGACGACCCGGGAGGAACCTCTCGGTACTCTGCACGAGGTGAACCCTATCCAGGCCGCCTCCGATAACCGCCAAGGGCACCGCCAGGAAGTACACATGGAGGGGAGGAAAGTGCAAGGACTTCGTGACTCGGGAGCCACCCTAACTCTAGTACGCAGTCATCTGGTACCAAAGCCCAAGCTCACGGGGGACTGTGTGGCTGTGCGGGTGGCTGGGGGAGCCATTTACAAAGTACCCACGGCCAAGGTGCACTTGAATTGGGGAGCGGGGCACGGGAATGTATGTGGGGATGATGCAAGACTTGCCAGCGGATGTGATTTTGGGCAACGATTTGGGGGAGCTGACTTCGGCTTTTGTTCCCCAGCCCACCGTACAAGAAGCATACCCGGTTGTGACCCGGCAACAGGCCCGCACCACTGCACCATTCGAACACTCTGAGGCTCAGGTAAGCAATGACCCTCCCCTACCCCCTACCATGCCCTGGGCCAATTCCATAGAGTTCGGGGCCGAAGTAGCCCTAGATCCTTCGTTACAGGTGTACAAAGATCGCATGGATAAAAATCAAGCTGGGTTAGAGGGGGAAAGGTATATCTGGGACAAAGGGCTACTATATCGGCACGCAGAGAAGGTAGTGTCCGGGTCAATACCGTTGCCCATTAAACAGCTAATAGTGCCTCGAAAATATAGGTTAGAGCTGTTACGCATAGCCCATGATATTCCCCTGTCTGGACACCTAGGCATCAGTCGGACCAAGCACAGGCTGACCCAGAATTTCTTTTGGCCAGGTATTTCCCAGGATATTAAGCGGTATTGTCAGACCTGCGATACCTGCCAAAGGGTAGGCAAGAGGGGGGGCAGATACAAAGCCCGACTACGGTCTCTGCCCATCATTGAAGAACCATTCAGTAGGGTGGCAGTAGACATTATAGGTCCCCTCGCAAAACCCAGCCCCTCCGGCAAGAAGTATGTCCTAACTGTGGTGGACTACGCCACCCGGTACCCCGAGGCAGTGGCCCTAACGAACGTACACGCAGAAAAGGTAGCCGAGGCCCTGATGAGGATATTCACCCGGGTAGGATTTCCCCGGGAGATTATCTCCGATAGAGGCACCCAGTTTACTGCGGAAGTGACCCATCAGCTCTGGAAAATATGTGGGATACAACAAATCCTCAACTCCCCATACCACCCCCAGTCCAATGGGCTCTGTGAACGATTTAACGGAACCCTAAAACAAATGATCCGCACGTTCATGGACACCCAAAAGGACTGGGAGCGGTTCTTACCCCACCTTCTGTTCGCGTATCGAGAAGTGCCGCAAGAATCCACCGGATTCTCTCCGTTCGAATTATTATTCGGGAGGAGAGTGAGGGGACCTCTTGACTTGATACGGGAACACTGGGAGGGAGACGAAACCGTTAATGGCACCCCTATCTTACCATATGTGCTCGAGTTCCGGGAACGCCTGGAGAGGCTAACCCAGACCGTCCGAGACAATCTCCAGGTAGCGCAACAACGACAGCGCCGATGGTACGATAAGGGAGCCAGGGACCGCAGCTTTCAGGTGGGGCAGAAAGTCCTAATCCTGCGACCCGTCCACAAAGATAAGCTGCAGGCTTCCTGGCAGGGCCCATACAAGGTGGTGGAACAGATCTGTGACACCACCTATATGATCGGCCCGGTTACCGGCGTGGGAGGCAAACGCATGCTCCATGTGAACATGCTCAAGCCATACCACGAACGGACTGAGGAAGTCACCGCAATCTGTGCCCCTGCCACGGAAGATTTTGATAACCTACCCCTACCCGATCTCCTAGACCAAGAGGGCCAGAGCAGAGATCTGGGAGAGGTACAGTTAGGAGAAAGATTAAATACCCAAGAACGGGCCCAGGTACAAAAGTTGCTTCGGGAAAAGAAGGCCACGTTTTCCAATTTACCCGGCTATACCCGTTGGCTACCCATAAGGTAGAAACGTTAGATTCGACCCCCTTGCGCCAACCCCCCTACCGCACTCCAGAAGCAGTCAAGGAGAATATGCGCAAGGAAATTGAGGAGATGATTCAGCTAGGAGTAATAGAGCACTCGGACAGCCCCTGGGCCTCCCCGGTAGTACTGGTGCCGAAACGGGACGGGACGACCCGTTTCTGCGTAGACTACCGACGGCTCAACGATAAAACGACCTCTGACGCATATCCCATGCCCCGAATAGACGAACTCCTCGACAAAATGGCCAGGGGTCAATACCTAACCACTATAGACTTGTGCAAAGGATACTGGCAGATTCCCTTAGCGGACGACGCCATCCGTAAGTCGGCTTTTGTCACCCCGTTTGGCCTGTATCAGTTTAAGGTTATGCCATTCGGGATGAAAAACGCTCCAGCTACCTTCCAGAGAATGGTGGACAGACTGTTAGATGGGTTCCAGGAGTATGCCTGCGCGTATCTAGATGATATCGCCATATTCAGCCACTCCTGGCACGAACATCTGGTTCACATAGGAGCCATTCTAGACCGAATCCGAGAGGCTGGACTGACCCTAAAACCCAGCAAATGCCATATCGGTATGGCGGAAGTCCAGTATCTGGGACACCGGGTAGGGAGTGGGCAACAGAAACCCGAACCTGCTAAAATAGAGGCAGTCGCCCAATGGCCTACCCCTCGCACCAAGACCCTTGGTGCTCGCCTTTTTAGGGACCGCCGGGTACTACCGGAAGTTTGTGGCCAACTATAGCGCCCTCGCCAAACCCCTCACAGACCTGACCCGCAAGAACCTCCCTAAGTTAGTAGTCTGGGCCCCAGAGTGTGAGCAGGCGTTCCAACAGCTCAACACGGCGCTGGTTAATTCTCCTGTACTTTCTGCTCCTGATCCAACTAAACGCTTTCTCGTCCACACAGACGCTTCTATGTTTGGATTGGGAGCAGTACTGAGCCAAGTTGGACCCGATGGCGGCGAGCACCCCGTAGCTTATCTAAGCCGAAAACTTTTACCCAGAGAAGTAAGCTACGCCGCCATTGAAAAAGAGTGCCTGGCTGTGGTGTGGGCCCTCAAAAAGTTGCAACCCTACTTATACGGACAACCCTTT